CAGTGATAGTACAAGACAGCATATAAGATACTGAAAGCTCTGGGTTCACCACCCGGTAAAATTATCAGAGTTGTTAATAGGCAGCTGTCAGTCTGAGGAAACCACATGTCTTCCAGACTGAAGTCAGAAGCCCTAGTTGCAGTATCAGGCAGATTATCAAAATTGCCCTCCACAGTACAGAGAGATGTGCAAACTTGGCTTCTACCAGAAAGATGGTGGAAAATTCTACTTTAATGAGGTCACATAGGTAGTGTGGCATGGCCATATGGCCAGAATTAATAGAAAGCCATATTTTAGCAATGAACATGCAATGAGACCCATATAGATGGATCCTTTTCCCCATGCTGAGCCAAATTAACTCCAATGTGGATCAACAAGGGCCAAATGTAAGCGAGAAGGCTTTCCTTTTAATTGTAAGGCAAACTTTTAAGCCCAAGTTCATTGTTGCAAGGTGAAGATACCGTAGTCTTGGGGTGTGGTAGCCTCCTAATGCATCTATTAGATTTGCAGGTATTAAATTGTTTGCTTTTTATTGTAGAAGGCCTTCCACAAGCAAAGCAACTTGTTGGTCAAGCAAGTCACTCTGCTTCACCAAACTATCTGACTATTTACAGGGCAAAAGACTAAACTTTTAATTAACTCTGCCCTTAATATTTTTAATGTCCTTCATAACTCGAACCTTAAACACCCTTAACCTGAGTTCTAGCCAAATTTTAAACATGCATTAAAAGCAGATATAGGTGCTGATGCTGCTTCTCCAGAGCCACCTGCCAATATTTTAGATTTAAAAAAAGCTCTCCAGTTGACAAATCAGGGAAGCAAGGAACATGACTATATACAGAGTGCTATGAACTAAAAAGTAAACAAACTGAGAAATATTCTCTAATCTAGCCGTTCTAGTAATTTTAGGTGGAATATTTTCAGACAGGTGTGATATTTTCAGATGTCTCTCTTTAATTGCTATTATTTTACCATTACCACACACCTTGGTTCTCTGACTTCATTAGACGTTTTATTTGAATTGGGAGTACAGGACTGGACCCACATTTAGGATAGAAAACTCAAATTGTTACTCTAGTCAACCCACTGAGTAGATTCAAAGCTCTGACCACTAACTTTGCTGTGATACCAGGTTGAAAATTAAAGCACTTCTTGAACAAAAGGGGGAAAAACTTAAACACTTCTCAACAGGCAAGGAGACTAATGCTTTGTGGGTGCTACAGAAACAGTAGGATTCCATAGGAGTTGGTACCTTAAGAAATTCTGTGATACAGTCTGTCAACTGCTTGTGCCCTTGGATATTTAACTCCAGTTCATAAAATTTCGATATGAGTTTGGACTCCCTGCCACACTGGTTACAGCTAGAATTAAAAATAAATTAAAATAGATCAGTACATGGCTTAATGTGTCAGTCATTTAACCATCATAAAACTTTACTGCTGAAGTTCTTCCTCTGATTGTTAAACCAGGAGAGAGACTGGATTAAATGATCTCCAATACACTGTTTCCAAGACTGCATGGGTTACAGAAGAGGACCTTGTACAGACAGAAGACAGCATCTAGCAGGAGTGCAGAAATGCCCATTTACAACTGATATTTATGCATGTTTCAAATATAGTTTACGAGTCCACTACCGGGAAACAAAACAGGCATTGGGGCAGCTTAATACCATATATTCTAGATATAGGGAATTAATCCACATACTTTAATTCAGGTGGCTATTTATTTGTGAGTTACTTTCCTTACTAAAGGATGAATTACAGAAAAATAGGCAAACTGTAGAATGTTAAAAATTATGCCATCTTATTTTTAAGAAACTCAAGACTTTGAAAACATATTAAATTATTTTTAAACTAGAAAGTCACCTTCCCTTCTGCTACAGATTTAAAAAGGCTTCTTCCCACTTATGCCTTCCCTTCCCCCCTGAAAAAAGCCTTCAATATTTGTAGAAACGTGACCAGAAGAATAGGCAAACACACTGAGCAAGAAAGCACCACTAGAGAATTAAACCAACTACTTACACAGTGACATACGCATACTCTCCACAAAACTGCTTTTGAACAATGTTCCGTACATCTGGATTTTTTTGTTTAGACAAAGTATCCTCTAGTAGTGACATGAATAGCTTTGAAAATTCCTGGGCATCCTAGAACAAAACACCAATACTTGGTAATATATTGCAACTCAAAAGTGGAGTCAGAACCTACCTCTCTAATTTACTTGAAATGTCAGTGATGGAGACCCACATACCAAATTACACAAAAGCTTACTAAGGAGCACGATGAATAGAAAAATACAAATCAAGAGGGCTAAGAAAAAATTGAACTTGACTAAAGGGAGATTAAGACACATAGCATGAGAACAGCAGCATGAATTAAATTGGTACAGTGCTGGTAGCTAAGAAATGTTTGATTTCTGCATTGCAATTTGCAGGATTCTGAACAATAGGAGTGGCTTATATACTGTATAAATCCCATTATTCTCACTTTATAACTCCACATTGTGAACCAATCTTTTCCCCAGAAGAATACTGAAACAAATATTTGACTGACAGGCTTTTTCAGAGCATTGCTTATGTTGTAAAAACAGCACACAGTAGTTTAAAGTGTATTAATCTTCCTTTGTTATGGAACAGCTTCTGTGTGAGGAGAGATTAAAAAGACTGGGACTTTTGAGCTTAGAAAAGAGATGAGTAAGAGAGGATATGATGGAGGTCTATAAAATCTTAACTGGTGTGGAGAAAATAAATAACGAAATCTTATTTATGCCTTCTCATAACACGAACTAGGGGGTCACCAAATGAATTTAATAGGCAGCAGGTTTAAAACAAACAAAAGGAAGTATTCCTTCACACAATGCACAGGCAACCTGTGAAACTAGTTGCCAGGGGATGTTGTGAAGACCAAAATTATCACAGGGTTCAAAAAAGAAAGCGATACATTCATGGAGGATAGGTCCATCAATGGCTATTAGCCAGGATGGGCAGGAATGCAACACCATGCTCTGAGTGTCCCTAGCATCTGTTTGCCAGAAGCTGGAAGTGGATGACAGGAGATGGATCACTTGATGATTACCTGTTCTGTTCATTTAATCTGAAGCACCTAGCCATGGCCACTGTTGGAAAACAGGATACTGAACTAGATGGGCCATTGGTCTGACACAGTATGGCAGTTCTTATGTTTTTAAGTAACAATTTGTGACAATACTCAATCAGTTTCATGCCATCATTTCTTTTCTTCTCAAAATAATGTTTTATGGCATTTCTTTTAAAAAGGCCAGAACACACTTGCCATACTGAATATTAAAATCATAGAATCATAGAAGATCAGGGTTGGAAGAGACCTCAGGAGGTCATCTAGTCCAACACCAACGAAATCATCCCAGACAGGGCTTTGTAAAGCCGGGCATTAAAAACCTCTAAGGATGGAGATTCCACCACCTCCCTAGGGAACCCATTCCAGTGCTTCACCACACTCCTAGTGACATAGATTTTCCTAATATCCAACCTAGACCTCCCCCACTGCAACTTGTTCTGTCATTTGCCACCACTCAGAACAGCCCAAGCTCCATCCTCTTTGGAACCCTCCCCCCACCCCCCTTCAGGTAGTTGAAGGCTGCTCTCAAATCCCCCTCACGCTTCTCTTCTGCAGACTAAATAAGCCCAGCTCCCTCAGCCTTGATACCAGCTGTCAACTAGACATGGAGCCATTGATCACTACCCGTTGAGCCCGACGATCTAGCCAGCTTTCTATCCACCTTACAGTCCATTCATCCAATCCATACTTTTTTAATTTGCTGGCAAGAATACTGTGGGAGACCGTATCAAAAGCTTTGCTGAAGTCAAGATACAGGACGTCCACTGCTTTCCCCATATCCACAAAGCCAGTTATCTCAACATAGAAGGCAATCAGGTTGGTCAGGCATGACTTGCCCTGGTGAATCCATGTTGACTGTTCCTGATCACCTTCCTCTCCTCCAAGTGCTTCAAAATGGATTTCTTGAGGACCTGCTCCATATTTTTTCCAGGGACTGAGCTGAGGCTGACCAGTCTGTAGTTCCCCAGATTCTCCTTCTTCCCTTTTTTAAAGATGGGCACTATATTTGCCTTTTTCCAATCGTCCAGGACCTCCCCCGATCGCCACGAGTTTTCAAAGATAATGGCCAATGGCTCTGCAATCAAATCAGCCAACTCCCTCAGCACCCTCGGATGCATTAGATGACCTCTAGAAAAAACAATCACCCAAGTGTGGCTCCATTATCCTTCTGGGTTTCTCATACCTCTTTGAGGCCCATCATGACACCGCTTTGCAGCGTCTCAATACACAAATACAGGTTACTTCTGTTTACATGATAGCTCTAGTCAAGCAACAGAAAAGTAGAAGCACAAGCAAACAAGACAGTATGATTTTAATCAGTTGTTTCATTTTAAATCTAGGGGCAGCTCCTCAAGGTGTAAATCGGCACAGCTTCAATTAAATCTACCAAACAATGCCAATTTAATCCAATCAACAGGTTTTTATGCTCTGTTACAGGATAAATGTTCCACCATGCCCAATTTGTTCAAAAGGAAAGCTCGCCAAATTTAAAAACCTCGACTACCTGTTGTTGTCCTGTATCCAAACCTAGCGCTTTAACAAACCCAGAGGGATCAATGTATCGTCTATTACTGTTCTGTAACAACGCAAACAAGTACTGAAGATGTTCACAAATTGTCTGGGGTTCATAATCTATTGGGAAAAAAAACATGCCCAAGTTAGTGATCAGAAAGTTACTGTTTTTCTCAAAACAATACAAGAAAAAATTAAAGTCATTCCAATTAGAATAATTTACTTTTTGTTAGTCAATGGATTAAACTATTTTTAATACACATCTTCATGGTCTGAAACAAGCTGTCCTTGTTTACAGCTCAGATTATAAATCGTCATGAGTCTAAAGTGGTTAAATTAAGAATCAGAAAATCAGTTCTAAAGATGACAGATTTTCCCATTTTAGACTGTGCTGCCTTTCCCACAGCCAACACTCAGTAGGGGGAGAAGGCCCTAAGGCTATTAGTTAATAATAAATTCTGTTATGTTGTACACTTGAGGTTTTCCACAGTATTTTGTTGCTTTCAAGTACCATATCTTCTGAGTACCTCCTCCATCAAATGAAACGATGGGCTAAAAATACCTCACAAAAAATGGACAAAAATTCATTTTATCTGGTGTGAAATACCAGCTGCAATAGTAAATTTAAGCAGCATGGTAAGACAGATATTACCATGCAATAATCCATGGTGTAAAACAGAAAGCAGCGTACTGTTAAGCCACATTAACTGCAAAGCACACCTATAGCACATTAAACAAAAAACATAGGCCACTGGTCTAATCTGGTGTGAACAATCTAGTACATTATTCTGGCACCAACCGTGGCCAATGCCAGATTTTTCTACATAATTTCCTTATGTGGGATTGAAGTTCTCGCATGAAATATGCCTATGGGTAGAATCTTCTTCCTAACCCCAGTCAGCTGGTGGTAGAATAATGTCCTGAAACATGAAAATTAATATTTCTTATAATTTTTCCCTCTCTAGTCACTTAATATTGTTTACCATGTTTCACTGTATAAAGCAGAAAATGACTTCACACCATAAGGTTCACAAAATTTCAGAGTAGCTCATTCATATACATTAAAACTTCTCTCTTTGCTCAGATAATTAAAACAACTTTTGCTTATAACAAAACAAAGGCTTAGGAGATGCTATGACCTTCCACTAACCTCTGTCTTTTGGGATGCCTTGACCAGTCACATATTCACTGCAGGTGCTTGGACACAAGTAAAGGGCCTGCCGAAGTTCCAAGTTAAGAAACCACATCTGCAAGAAAGTGTTCACGTAGCATGTGGCTCCAAGGTTTGTTAGGCCTACAAAGGCGTTCTAACATAAAACAGAAAACATTATATGAATTAATTCCTGTTTAAAAGGAGCAGATTGATAAAACTGTCAATTAGGCTCTTTCTACACTACTGCTTTTAACTGAGTTAGTAACTAGTTATTGGTGCTGAGACTCTACAGGTTTATGGAGTTTTCCTTTAAACTTCTTAGTCTCCAACAGTACGTGTCCAATCAACATGATGTCATTAAATAGACAATTGTTCATCTGTAATTCTGCTTATCTGCAGATATCATCTGACTCCATTTATACTAACATACGTCCCTGTCCTGTTTCTTAACTCTGAAGGGAAGCATGTAACATTTTGAACTTCTAAGGGCTTGTCTACATTACCGGCTGGATCGACTGGCAGCAATCGATCCAGTGAGAGTCGATTTATAGCGTTGACTCCAGTACTCCACCAGGGCGAGAGGCGCAAGCGGAGTTGACGGGGGAGCATCAGCCATCGACTTACCTCAGTGAAGACACCACGGTAAGTAGATCTAAGTACGTCAACTTCAGCTATGTTATTCACGTAACTGAAGCTGCATAACTTAGATCGATTTCTCCCCCCAAGTGTAGTTCTCTTCTGGTGATTTCTTTGGATGCCCCTTACCCTTAGAATATAGAGAACTCATTGCATTCTGCTCATCAAGGAAATGAAATTGAATGCTCTAGGGCAGTGGTCTCCAAATTTTTTTGATCGCGCACCCCTATCAGTAAAAAATTTTTGAGCACACACCCCCTGCCGTGCCGGCTCTACCTTTTTGCCAAAGCAAAAAAAAAAAAAAAAAAACCACGCTCCTCCTGCCGCACACCCCCAAGGATCCTCTTGCGCATGTCGCTTTGGAGACCACTGCTCTAGGGCACTGAGCACTCAGAGTTGGTCTCAGATGGGGAATGAGCAGCTAGTGCCTCAAATCTTTGAAAGTTAAGGGAATTCCAGACTCATGCTAGGGAGCTGAAACCCAGTAGTGGGAATCCTGTCAATACGGTATTCTTTGAAGAAGAGGGTTCTTCTATGTAGGCCCTTAACCTACAAACACTTAAGCACATATGTAAACTTTACTCACATAAGTAGAAAGCATTTGCCAAACTAGAGCTACAGTTTGAATGACAAAAATGAGTTTCTTTTACCTTTTTCCTCCGTTCAGAGTTTGGGTCATCAATGTTGTGAAAGCTATTTTCATCAATTTCTCCTAGCCAAACATGTTCACCAATCCCAACCAAACAGTTTGGGTTTCCTCTGCAGTTTCTTCTACAAAAACAGTTATGGAAACATTAAAATATAGACCATACATTTGCCATTTGTAACTAGTGCATAAACAGGCAGCAGACAAGCTGAACCAAATTATTTTTATTTGCAAAACAAAGGGCAACAGCAAACAGAATAAAGAACACTCAGAAGTAACTTAAGAAGTTCTCTTTATTAATAGTACGTGCTCTTTAATTTATGACCAATAGGCTCTGGTTTTTACTGAACAGGCTTGGAGGTACGGTTTAGTGTTAATCTCAGTACAGCTCACCCAAACAAAATCCTTGTTTTAGTTGTCGAAATGAGCAGAAATGCCACTTTCTCCACACAGGGCATTTTTATTTTGTTTTACAAAGACAATTTACAGCTCACGGTGACTGTGCCTGATTGCTCTTGACAATGCTCCTATGCCTTGTCCAGCTATGTACAATTTCATCCTGCTCACCCACACATAATATGGTGACAAATCAGAGAGGGTGGAAAGGGCTTGATGTTGTAACTTGTTCAGGAGGCACTTATAACCCATTGGGGAGAAGGGGGGGGAGAAGAGAACAGGTTTTTTTTTATTTTAACATACTTAAACTAAACTGGATGCATTAATGGTGTATTTTCTACCTAAAGGCATTTATTACTGTGGTATGAGAGTTTTCAAAGAAATTTCTGTACACAACCTTCCCCCCCCCCAATATTGGACACTGAAATAGCTCTGCTGCCGTTATGGTAAGTCCATCTGAAGTTTGAACAGGTTGGTTTCCACCAGGCATAAAGTCCAAAGTTAATCACTTTGGCAAGACATTGGAAATTAAAGGACCAGTGCCACCTTAAAAGTCACCAATGTTTTGTTTTTACTTACTACTCTTAAACACGCAGAAAAATGAACTGACAAAGTAGATCTTCTTTGCTTCAGAGTGCTTACGCTCTAGGTCCTGCCCAGGGCTCTGGTCCCCTCTAGCCAGCTGCTCAGTCTGGGCGCTGCTGGGCGTGGGGGAGGGGAGGTTCTCAGACGGGGCTGAACTCCGCAGCCAAGGGAACATGAGTCGCCCCAGAACCAGCGACCCCCCGCCATGACAGCGACGCGCTGAGCTCTCCGGCTGGCGGGAGGCCCCTTCCCGCTCCTGCCATCGGAGCCGGGCCCAGGCGCTCCCCTCAGGGCTGGCGGGGCCCCGCCAGGCTCCTCCCCAGCCTGCCGGGGAGAGCCCGGCCTCGGGGCGGCCCAGACGCTGCGGGGACGGGCGGGTTTGGGCCTTCCTCAGGCCGCTGGGGGGAGGGGGGAGGGGCGGGCCCGGTACCTGCACACGCCGCGCTGGCAGGGCTCCAGCCCAATGCGATAGGCCGCCTCGATATGCTCCTGCGTCACCTCCTCGGGCGGCACGGTCTCGGTCCAGCGCCAGGCCGCCTTCTCCAGCTGCAGCCGCGGGGCCATCCCGCTCCGCGCCGGGCGCCGCCTGCGGACTAAGGGAGCGGGTCAGACGCGGCCCGGCCCCACGCGACACGGACGTTGAGCGCGCGCCCGACGCCTGTACCGCGCGGGCCCGCAGGGAGCCCCCCCATACCGCGCGCGCCCGATAGCCCCCGCCCGCTCCTCCGCGTGGTACCTGGCCGCCCCCTGACTGCAGCCCCTCCTCCGCCGGTGCGCGGCCCCGCTCAGCCCGGCCGGGCGGCTCCTTGGCTGCGCGCCTGGCTCCTGGCTCTCGGGCCCAGGTAGGGGCTGCGCCGACGCGGTGACGACATGAAGCGACCGCACGTGAACTGGTGACGTGGAACACACCGCGCGAACACCGTCCGCGACGTGAGACGCAGGGCACTGCGGGGGGGCGTTCCCTGTCGGTGACCCCGGGCTGTCATGGGGCGGGGCCTAGTTAAAGGGCCAGCAGAGACTAAATCTCGCCCCCACCAGCCCGTTTACAGGGGTGCAAGTACCAGCGTGCAGGGCTCGGAGCTGGTGTTCAGCGCGCTGGGAGAGCGCTCCGCCACGGCGGCGCGTTCACACGGCCAGCGAAGCCAGAGCAGGCTCGGGCGTGTCCGTTGGGTTCGGAAAGCTCTGGAGGGCGGGTCTGTTCCTCTGAGTTCTCTCCTGTGCCGGTCTGTCTAGTTCTGCTCGGACATACACCCTGTGCCACAGGGCGAGACGCGGGGTCCGCTCATCCAGATCCACCCGCGAGGCAGCTGCCTGCGACTCCGCCTCGCCTGGGGGCAGCTGTCCGCCTCTGGCTCTCGAGCTTCGGGCTGGCTTCGACAGAGCCGGGTTCTGGCTTTCTTCTCTCTCGGGAAATAGGTTGGGAACTGAAAGGTTTGTCCCTGGCCCAGCCAGGGCCGGCTCCAGGCACCAGGCACCCAAGCTGGTGCTTGGGGCGGCACCTGGAGGGGGGCGGCGGCGCGGCGCTCTGGCCGCCGGGGGGGAGAGCCGGCTGGGGCGCGCCGCCCTGCGCGCTGGCTGCCGGCGGGGGGGGCGGGAGCCGAGCCCCAGCCGGGGCTCGCCGCCCTCCTCCCAGGGCTGGGGCGGCGAAAAAGCCAGAGCCGGCCCTGGGCCCAGCTGCACGTACGCAGCCTTGTAATCTGGCTTCTTCACTTTCTGGGTCTTGGGGTTCCTTTTATGGTTTGCACCATGCTGTATTCTGGTCCTCACAACTGGCACTGGCACGTTGCTTGTTGGCAGGCCCAGCCCCAGCCCCTGACGGGGATCAACGTCTCCCCGCAGGCATGCAAGCCTGCCCACCTACCCCCCCCCCCCCGATTTCCACCTCCGAGGCGCCCCCAGGCGCAGACGCACTGCCTGGGCTGCCGGGAAAGGCCCCCCCCCCACACACACACACACAGATTTCTTTTGTATTTTTCTGCGCGGGGGGCACAGAAATTTGTGGGCCGAATGAATTCTGTGCCCCCACAGGGGCGCAGAATTTTGTCGGGAGTAAACGGTTTTGGGGATGCATCAATGCCCATTCCTGCTTCGAGAGAAGGGAGAATTTCTCTTCTCTTTGCTGAGCTGATAGCCTCTAGAGTAGAGCATATTAATAGTTACTCTGTTGTACCTCATAAGCTTGAACTTCAGTTTGCTGCAAATTAAAATCCAGCATGGTCAAGGAAGCTCAATATAAGAAAATGTACAGAAAAGGACAGGAATCTGAACCTGTACTAAATAGTCGCTTTGCAAGTACTGTAAGGTGGAAATCTGTGCATATTATTATCTGGGGTGAGATCTGAACCACAAATGAAGGGAACTGAGTATAATCCCCTGTGTGGCCAACAATACATCCACAGATGCTGTCAGTAAGATGGCAGAAATCCTCAAGGATGAAATTGGATCACTTCAGATGAACCAAAGTATACAGCAGTTATTGATTTGCTTCTAGGCCTGCACTTCAAACAGCAGCTGCTCAATGACCTTGACACATTGCCATTTTCTTTGCTTGTGGATGAATCGACTGACAGTTCACTTCAAATGCTTTCTTATATTTTCATCAAATATTTCAGTGCTTATAAACACGTCTCTGAGCATGACTGAACTATCTGAACCACACAGGGCATCACAAAAACTATACTGCAGAGTAACAGCTTTAAAACTTCATTGTACTTGCTACAGATGCATGAAAGTTTAGTTGCATTAAAATTGATGCACTGTTTAGTTTTAAGAGCACAACTCTCTAATCTTCAGTTTATGTCTAAGACTAAGATTTTGCGTGGTTATTTTTACTAAAAGTCACGGACAGGTCACGGGCAAAAAACCAAAAATTCACGGAAGCCGTGACCTGTCCGTGACTTTTGCTGCTGTGGCTCCATGGTTTTCCCCTGCGGGGAGCTGTGGGGTACCCCTTCTGCCCACGGCAGCTGGAAGCTGCAGAGGGGCTCCCCTCCACCCTGGGCTGTCGCCCGTTGCTGGAACCCTGAGGAGGGCCCCCTCAGCTGTCGCCTGTTGCTGGAACCTTGCTGGGGTTCCACTGGCTGCCAGCTCCAGTCCCTTGGCCCCTGGGCTGAAGCAGAGAATGTCACAGAGGTCTCTGGAAGTCACTTATTCTGTGACTTCCATGACCTCCGTGACATAAACGTAGCCTCAGTTAGATCCAGTGTTTGTCATTCACTTTTTATTGTGCTCACAAAGCAATGCAATTGTCTTTCTGGTCATCCTGATCTGACTTTAAAGAAACATACCTCTAGTTTGCACAATCTAAAGTGGGAGGAAAAAAGCCAAGCTGATTTCAAGGAACTGCATTAGTAAATGGAAACTGCCCAGTAAAGATGATTTCCAGTGCTACTGTGTGGTTAGTTGCTACAAATGAATTGCAAGATAGTATAATGAACTAGTTACACGTCAGCCTGCTTTATCTGCAGAATGCTGCTTTTCCACCCTTTGATGAAGAGGAATGTACAGTAAGACAGAAAATTAAAGGATTTAAAGAAGACTTTTCCATCTTAAATCAGGCACATTGGTAATAGTGACCTAGTGCAGCGGTTCTCACAACAACAATTTTGGTGGCCACTCTGACAATTTTTCCTAAATTAGTTAGTTAACTTTAGGAAAAACAAATACAACAAATAAATATGCACATATACATGTGCAAATCATTGTAATTTATCTATGTAGGGTTTTTTTTGCAGACTCCATAATAAAAATAATGTACAGTTGTCCCTATTCTTTACTAGACCTAAACAGAATAGAAACACAAATAAGGTGCTTTGTCTGTTTTGCTTTTTTTGGTTGATTTTCTTTTAATTTTTAAGACTTGCTAGCTAGTAAGTCTGCTGTTGTGAAAAGTGATATTTGTATGTTTGTTAATGTTGCCGGCACAGAGTGCCCGAGGAAAGCAACAGTGGGGTTCGTTGCCCGGTGTGCGTCGCGCCAATGAGCACACCAGGGTGGAGAAGCAATCAAAGTTTATTTGAGATCTCAAAGCGGTGCAAGGAGACTTGGCACGTCTCAGATCAAGCACACCAACATAAGCAATTTTTCTCTTTTTATACTTTACTTTAGCTAAGCTCTTCCCTTTCCCCCTCCCTCCCCCCTATAGTAGTTACATTAAGCAGTAGCAATTACATTTAAGCAGTTAAATCATCTTGGCGACTATAAGTCTAGCTTGTTAGTAACTCTTCTTTAAACCGTTATCTTGTCCTTTTTCCTTTGATCTGTTATTTTGCCTTTCAGCCAGAAGCATGCAGGCCTTATTACTACCGCTTTATACCGGTTTGAGCGGTGTTGCAACTGATAACTGACTGTTACACATTCCATTCTCTGTTGCTGGCTTGTTAGGTCGATTAAAGTTCAAACATGGAGGAGCTTTGGTTCATTTAGGCCTAGTGCAGGAAGGCTTCATCGACACTCGTGGTCTTCCACCCTCCCGAGTTACCTAGGGTTATGCCTAGTGACACCAACAACTCCCTCCTTTGAGAATACTCAACAAGCCTTTGGCTGAGTTGTCTCATATTCTGTGGACAAGATACGATTGAGTGCCATGGAGCTGGGGTTATCAATGAGAGGGTATGTCGGGATTTTTGGGGAACGGGAGGCACAAAGCTTACGGAGGAGCATTTTAAAATGGGGGGAGGGATAGCTCAGTGGTTTGAGCATTGGCCTGCTAAACCCAGGGTTGTGAGTTCAGTCCTTGAGGGGGCCACTTAGGGATCTGGGGCAAAAATCAGTACTTGGTCCTGCTAGTGAAGGCAGGGGGCTGGACTCGATGACCTTTCAAGGTCCCTTCCAGTTCTAAGGGATAGGATAGGAAAACAAGCAATCAGGAGGAGGGTGACAGTACCACACCTGTGAGGAGGAGACGCACAAGGCCACCCCCCAGTCCTCCCAGGTCGGGCAACCAATTCCAAAGGGAATCGAAAACCGTGGGTTCCCTTTCCTGGGCCTTCCACTGCTCGAAAGCCTGTTTGGCCGACAGGACGTGCTTGTTAATGTCCTGTGACTTTTCTGGGACATAAGTACAACATTCACTCCCAATAAGGGCACACACCCCACCCTGGGAGGCTAAAACATAATCTAAGGCCTGTCTATTTTGCAGGGACAGCAACCGGAGCTAGTAAAGCTCTGAGTTAAGGCTTTTTTCTATGGTCAGGGTCTCATTGGCAAACTTGGTGAGAAACACAGAGAGCCTACGATAAAATTGAGTCAGCCGTCCCACCCCATAGGATGGGAGGAGGATCATACCAAACCTGTCTTCTTCTTTAATGGGCTCTGGGGTGGCATACAAGGACCGATGGTATCTGGGGCGACCTGAGGGGGCTTGGGCTAGGACGCGGAGGGGAGGAGCAAGATAGCCTAAATAACAGCTTCCATACCAGCCACGGGGAAGCTATTTGTAGGGACTATTACCACAGACCCAGAATGATTCGCCATAACTAACCTTTCCATTGTTACCTCTTCGGTCCCGTAGGGTAGCATGTGTGGAAAGAGTAAAAGACACATTGCCGATCTGCCAACCGGTGGCATTTAGTACAGGGACAGTGAGATTTATACCAGGACCAACGTAAAATCTACATGTACTATTGCCTGCAAACAAGGTATGGTTATTCGTACTGGTTTGCTGGAAGCATATGAGGCCAGCGGGTGGAGAGTGTAAGCGAATAGGCCGAGGCTTAAGAGTGCTATTATAGTGGGGATTCCAAGAGCCATTGTGCAGGCCCATAAGGGGCCTCCGTAGTGCAATTAGATCGTAAACTTTTATTGTCAGAGGTGCTGTTTTTGGTTATCA